GAATGCCGAATTGCAAAAGCAGATTACTACTTCTGAGCAAATGAAGATCATGCTCAATAATAAAGACAAAGAAATTTCCTCACTCATTTCTTCAAAAGGTGATGAAATTTCTGACTATCTGTTTCAGATACAGACTCAACATAGAAAACAAATCCAAGAGTATGAACTTCAGTTGAGGTCTTTGCAGACAGAGAGACAGCAATGTGAGGAGTCCCGTCAGAGGATGGAAAATGAATTGAGAAATCTACAGGTGAAGGCAGACAAAGCAGGTCAGGATAAGGCTGCAATTGCCAGCGAAATAGATGCCCTTAAAAAATCAATGTCATCTCTTCAGAATGATCGGGATGATCTTTTTTCTAAATACAAAGAGCTGGAACATCTTCACCAAGATATCTTAAATCAGCGGGACAGTCTTCTAGTTGGCAACGCAAGTGAGAATAATGCTTTGAAAGAAGAATTAAGGATACTTCTCAATCAAATAGATGACCTTCACTCTGAAAATGCAATGCTAAGTGCACAGCTGATAAAGTACAGGGAAGATCTTAACCAAGTTTTATCTCTGAAAGACCATCAGCTGAAAGATTTACTGAAGCAGAAATTGGTTTGTATTAAAAGCCTTGAACAAGAAAAATATGATCTTCAAAGACAAATAAAAGAAATGCAACTTTCTGTTGAACTGGAAAGGGATACTGCTGCATCTTTGGAACGTGAAAATAAAAAATTACTGTCTAAAGTAAATGATTTAGAGCCTTTAATTGCATCATTAAACAAAGAGAAACTTGTTTCTGAATCTGGAGAGAAACTGCTAACTAGTGACAGTGCTCAGAAAAAAGAACGTGTATCAAATGGACAGTATGGAGAAAATCTTCAGAAGAAGATTCAAAAACTCCAGAAATCGAGAGGCAGAAGTGTAGATGAGGACTACAGCAAGAGTCTTTTGACACTCGAGCATGGAGATGAACCTGATACTTTTGCAGAGAAAATGTTATTAGAAGTTCGATCTCAAAACAGTGAGCTGAGGTCCCAAAATGAGGCCTTTGGGAAAGCAATGACTGCCCTGCAAAATGACAGAGATAGGATAACAGAGGACTTAAAGGTGCTTCAGAGCAAATATACATCTGAACTCAAGACTGAGAAAAAGAGAGGAGATGAACTGGAAGCTGAATTGGATCGCTTTAAATTACATCTTATCAGTATGCTCAAAGAAAGTTCTCTTCTGAATTGGGTTGTTTTTAATGCTGCAGATAAGGTTACACTTGATCAGATTGCTGATGAAATTGAAAATCTCTGTAGGACGTTAGTCAGTCGTGAGGTGGAGATTAGCAGGCTCTCATCTGAGTGTGGGAATTACGTTCAGCAGATTGAAGCATTTTCCAAGGCTATGGCCAGTCTTCAGGATGACCGAGACAAACTGCTGCAGGAGCTCAGCAATCAGAAGGTAACTTCTGAAACAAACCAGGGCGCGGCTTCATTTACCATTGGTTGCAAGAGCATCAATGAGATAAATTCTGTTAAATATAATTTGGGTATGCCTCGGATAGGG